TGGATTGTGATAAGAGTTGTATGCGCCCCTAATAAAATGATTAGAAGAAAAAAGAAAAACAAATACAAATTCTATAGCAAGGATAAAAAAAATATTCAACAGCAAAATAACATGTGATCCAGTTAAACAGACCCATCATTTTCCCAAAACACTGGTTCTTTGGTATGATATTTTTCATTATGGGGTGGAATTCAGTGTATTAAGATTTAAGTATCTAGAATTGTATCTCAAGTGATTTAATTATTAGCATAATAGCAAGACATTCTGTGAATTAGATTTCATTTATAAAATCTCTTGTATCCCTGGGCTGTGTGTTAGACTATAGTTGACATGTAATAGACAGCTCACAAAAATCTGAATGATCTTGTGAATTAGTAATTACTCTTTTTGTAAATATCACTTATATTTAGTATTGCAGAACAAGAAGTTTGCTCTTTATCTAGATTATTATTTTTAGGGGACATACGCAATTTGTTCTTATAGGGAATGGATTTCTTTGTAAATTGTGCTTTTGTATTTACGGTACCTACCAGTTAGTGTGACCATCCAGACCAGGATGTATGTGAATGCAGAGATCCATAGTGCAGACATAAAAAATGTTATCACAAAGTAGCTTTTCCAGAACTTTCTTCTGCAATCTGGAGTAGTTAGAAAAAGTAGCGTAATAATAGGAAGGGATAATACCCACAAAATTCTTCTTAAGTCTGCTTCAGGCATACTGAAAACACTTGGTGGATCTGTCGAAAAATTAAACAATGTGAGTTTCCTCAAATGACCAATTAAGTTGATAGTGCCTATTTAGAAAGCTATATTAAAATAAATTAGCTGTATCAGTTTTTAAAAGGCTATTTAAAACACTTGAATACCTCATTACTGATATTGCTGGCAAACAGAAACTAATTGAGATTTTAGAGTAGAAAACTCAAAATGTGTGATACTCAGCATTTTTTAGTTTGGGGCCTTAAATCCATCCAAATGTTTTAGGCCATTCGTTCCCTGAATATATTGGAGAGATTTCTGAGTTTTCGTTAATAAGGTCTGTGTTCATTGCCTTTCTTCTGAGCGTGAAGTCCACCCGACTAGCCCACCTCTTCCTCCACTACCCAATCACAATGATGCCTCTGACCTCCCACTCCCAGGGGGCTCTTCAGCCTCCTCGGGGCTCCTACAGCACAGGGAGAGCCGCGCAGTCTTTGCAGAAACAGCCGCATCTGTCTCCTGATGGACAGCAGGTGGGTTTGAACCACTGCCTTTGCAGTTAGCAGTGTCACAGCACCGCCAAGGAAAATGGTTGTAGCATTTTCTTTTTCTTACATATTTTATTCCAGCTCTCATAAGTGATTTTTTTGGCCTGTTATTACTTTATTTGATTAATTAACTTAATTCTCTGTATTTCTTAGAAACGGAAAGGCCAACCAAATCAGACTCGCTGCCATCGGGTCCACTCTGACTCACAGCGACTCCAGTAGAAAGCCTTATTTTTGTCCCGAGAGAGTGGCTGGTAGTTTCGAACTGCTGACCTTGCTGTTATCGGCTTAGAAACTAGAAAGACAGTATAACTTAAATTTGGAGTATATGATTATATATTCAGTTTGCTTTACTTTGTTAGAGAATCCAATGTTAGGGATAATATATTTTGGTAAAGGTGGAAATAATTACTTTTAAATTGCTTGACATTTATGCAGTAAAAGTACCCTTATATAATAATAGCCTTACAAGTAAGGTTAGTAAAATTACTCACATGAAAGTTTGTCAAGTCTTACCAAACAGGAGAGGTAGTATTGTGTTGGTAATACAGTAATTGGGGCTGGTTCTTTTAAACTTTTTGTTATTAAACCTAATTTAGGCATAACTTTTATACCCGAAAGACTGTAATAAATTATCCTTTTTGGTGAGCAGGGGAGTCAGGTTTGAATTTTTTTAGAATTGTAAATTAGATTAAGTTCCATATTTAATATACTTAATTAAAATTAGTTTAATTACTTTATTAAAAGTAACCTTTTAAGTTTATTTCTATTCATAGGTAGATTTCATTTCCTACTGCACACCCAATGCTTTATTACTGCTTCACACATCATGCGCAAAACGGAGCTGCTTCCGTTCCTCCCAAACAGCCTCTGCTCTCACTTCGAAGTCATCATTAGTGGGCTCGCTGTTTCCTCAGTCACTCATGACGTTTAGTTACCTAGCACTGCTCCCTTCTCCGGTCCCGTCCAGCCCTTCAGTTGCCAAGTCTTAGTGATGCCACCTCGTGGGTCTCACATCTCTTCCTTTCCTTTCCGCAGCCTTCAGTCTGTGTAGGTGACTACTCAATATGTCAGCTGTTTTAATAGCCTTTACGGGCTTCCTTTTCTCTTCTCTCGCTGTTTGTTTGTTTGTTTTTTCTCTAAGCATCATTTCAGGGAAATAGTCCTGAAGTACAATTCTAATCATTTCTGTACTCTACACTAGCTTGTAAGACTCTCTTTATCCACCTGGTCTGGACTTCTTTCCTGTGCACATATTGTGCTTCAGCTAGTACTTGAGCACACCTTTTGCTCATGTTATCCCCTTGACTTCGATCTCTAGAGTATACACTTAGTCATAATATCAGATTATCAATCTAAATATATATTCTACATGTTCTTGTTTAAATGTTGGTGGCACAATGGCTTAAGTGCTCGGCTGCCAACCAAAAGGGTGGTTTGAACCCAGAAGTCCCTCTGTTAGAGAAAAATGTGGTAGTTGTCTTCCACAAAGAGTTAGTTAAGAGCCTTGGAAACCCCATGGGCAATTGTGCTCTGCCCCATAGGCTCCCTGTGAGGCAGCAGCAGCTTGCTGGTGATGGGTCTGGTCTCCATGGCGATCGTTTCTGACGTTCCTTATGAATTGCGTACATTCTTCCCCAGTTATGCAGCAGAGTCATACTTTCTCTCTTACTCATACTTTCATACCGTAGCTGTGTAGTACTTGCCTGTTAAACACTGGCGCACATTAAGGGCATAGGAGCTGCCTTTTCATCTGCGAATCTTCACTGTGCCTTTCACAGAACAAACAGTCAGTACTTGCTAAATTGGAATGAGGTTGTCTTTCCAGTTATCATTTGCCAGTGAGGAGTAGTAGGCAAGATATAGTTATTACCTTCAGAAACCGGAATAAGACCATGTAAACTTAGGGAGAGTTGGGAGTAGCCAGAATCTTCATGGAATATTCCACTATCAGTTCTTGATCGTCGACGTATGAATGGTCGATCCTCATCTTCCCATCCCACCAGTGGCTGCTGGTCAGCTCTTTCCTCCATAGCTGTGGCAATGGACGTGCAGCAAGGGCTGCATTTCTTTATGACGTACTGCCTAATTTTAATGTCCAAAGAAAGCACCAAGACATACAACCCATATATCAGAAGCAGTACAGTGCCTTCATACCTGAAAATTAGAGAAGAGAAATACGTGTTTTGAAATTAAAGTGAAAGTCATTTTAGTTTAGAGCCAATAGTTCTTGGACGATATCTAATTTCTAACTCACTCCTGAGACTAGAAGAAACTTTTTTAGATATTTTTCATTCTATTGATTTTACCAAACTTTAAAACCTATGTTTATTGAAAGCTTAGGTCCAAGAAAATTGAGCGAATTGGACACATTGTCAGTTGCCATCTGGTTGGCTCGCACTCAGGGCGACCTTCTATAGAACAGTGAGACACTGCTCAGGGCTGCCCGGGACCCATGGACAGCGATGACCATTCCCACCTCCGTTGGTGGCAGAACGCACTACCAAACGTGTGCAATTAACAGAATATAGGTACCTTTTAATTGTGTCTATCCACATGGACCTGTTCAAATTCTCTGGTATAAAACTTTTGTAAAAATATTCAGAATGTTGGGTTTTGGGGCTTTTGAGTTTGCTAGAATTTTAATAGATATGATTTTAATGTAACTACATTTGGCTTGTATTTAAACGAAGTCAAGGTTATTCTCCAATAAAATTAGATGTCAGTTACCAACAATTGTCGCTTTATACTCTGATGACCTATGTGAAGAATTGTGATGGCCTTGTGCCGTCACATTGGGAACCTGCTTCCGTTCACCATTTATGCCAGTGAATCTCTGCCTCGGCCGACAGAGCAGCCTTCGTTTCCCTAGTGCTTGAACACGCTCTCACCATTGTGGTTCCTTAGGGTGTGTGGGTAGTAGGGGATCAGACTCGATTTCAAGATGATGCATTTTGGAATTGCTCCGTGATAGCTTTGAATTTCCTGGAAAACAGATAGTGTGCAGAGCTATCACGTTGTCTTTCATACTTCAGAGATATGGGACGTGCTGTACATTTCTTTCTTGTTCCGGGCATCAGGACAGACACCTCGTAAGTAAATACCTGGTGCTTATTAGTGGAAGTTAATTTCTGCTTCTTGGATCATCCTCTTCCATTTTCTTGCCCTCACTAGACACAGGGAGTTTACAGTTCAAGTAAACCATTTTGGATATTGAAACCTCACTATTTCTGAGAAGAGGTGGTTATAGTTCCTCCTGCTAAATGGACATCATAGAGAACATTGGGGAAATTTAAAGAGAATTCCTTTTCTTTACCTTTTCACCAATCTTATGGACGTGGCCACTTCTACCTGAGGCAGAGTAAGCAGTGACCAGCGGGAGAAGAAACAGCGTACAGCTGGGGTTTTAACTGGCAACAGAAATGGGGAAACTTTCCAACAGGCACCTGTGGGGAGGAGGGAGCGTGGTGGTCTCCGGGGTGTAAGGAGGGGAGGGTTGATAGGAAATGGAAGTGACTACAAAGTTGTGAGATCAAAGGAAAACATGATCACGAATTGGGATCAGGATAGGTGTCTCAAGAGCCGCCAGAAAGGACACTAAAGAGGGCCGAGCTAGCTGGTCTCAGAAGTGACCGTGAAATGACATTTCTGAAACGAAAACAATGAGGCCATGGAATGTAATGAAAACCATCTCTAAGTGTGTTTGACACAGAAGTAACAATCATTTCAAACTTACCAGTAAACTCGGTTGTCACATATTATGCCGAGGACTGCCGCTACACTAATTGCATATGCTGTACAGTCTCGGAATAGCGGCCAACATGAGAGCGGTGAAACCTGTAAAATGATAATTTGCAGTATCCATTACAATGTAAGTTCTTTTATGAAGTACGATGCTTAGTTTATTACCTAAATTGCATATTTATAGCTAAACTGTTATCTTTTATGTATTGCTTAGGGCAAAGTAAAGGGATTTTAAAGAAGACTTGTGTGTCTAGATCTCCACTGACTTTCATAAATTAGACCAAGAGCTCTCTTTGGGTTAATTTCCAATTGCATACACATTGCTTTCCTACTGATTAATAAATTTGATTGAACACTTACCTAGTGCCTTGCTTTTTTCTTTCAGACTATTAAGCAATTGGGATGATTTGTCGTACAATTTTGTTGAATACCATGTTCTTACGTACCATGTTGGATAGTAAGCCACAGGCTGCCGAGATGCCAAGGAGATTGTACATGGCCGATCCCAGAATGGTGCTGATACCAATGTCTCCCTTTGTGACAAATACGCCTGTGGCGGGACAGTGGCTGTTAGTGTTGCCTTGAGGAACGTTAAGTTTCAGTCGGCCAGGAAAAATGCGAAGGGGCAGCATTTACCTAGGAAAGCAGTGATCAATTCAGGAGCGGAACTGCCTGCTGCCATAAAGGTTGCCCCTGCGACGTCTGGAGACAGTCCGAGAGCTGAAGACAGGAAAGGATGGTTAGGCCTGATAAAGTGATACATGAAAGCATGTCTTTATACCTCAATGCAGTCACTGTTCAGAGCAGCAGCTTCCCACCAAAACAGTTGACTAGCAAGCTGAAAACCCAAACCTGAAGGTTAAGAGTAAGCAGAGCTGCGTCTGAATTCATGAATGCATCTAGGAGACGGGGGAGGTGCCAGGCAGCTGTTCCTCATGAATGAGCCCGCGGTGAGCTTATTTGGAATCCAGAAATGACTTTCTAGTTGTAAGTGAATATTAGTAACATCATTTCATTTATACTGTTGAGTATTCTAAAGAGTAAATCACTGCAAGGTATTTGGAGAATCCTAACCCAGGTGGAAAGAGGAAAACAAATGAATGTTAGTCTTCAGTGTTGTTACTCATTTTGAGTCCTGGTGGCCCCAAGTACAAGGGAACAAAACACTGCCTCGTCCCTGCACCCTCCTCAGCTGTCACCGTGTTGGTGCCTGTTCTTGCAGCTGCTCATCTGCTGTCAGTCCGCCTCGTTCGCGGCCGTCCTCTTAACTGCATGATGTCCTGCAGGACTGGTCCCTCCAGATAACATGCCCCCACATGCTGAGACAGTCTCACCGTCACTTGAAGGGCATTCTGGATGTAGTTCTCAGACAGTCTCACCCACACCCTAATTCAAATAAACCAGTTCTTCCGTCATCCTTAGTGCCCAGCTTATGCATACGAGGCAGCTGAACATGCCGTGGCCTAGGTTAGGCACACCTTAGTCTTCAAAGAGACAGCTCTGCTTTGTAATAACATCCATGCAATACAGTACACTGTGTTGTTTCTTGTACTGATGATCAAAGGTAAAATTCGTTTTTTTGACAACTTCATTCTCTTGTTCATGATGTTGCTATTGGTCCAGGTGTAAGGATTTATTTTCTTTATGTTTAGATGTAATCCATACCAAAGACTTTATAGTCTTGGAGCTTCTTAAGTAAATGCTTCATATCCTTCATTTTCAGTAAGGAAGGTTTGTGGTTTCTGTATATGGCAGGTTAACATTTTTGTCTAGTTTTGTTTTATTTGCTTAGGCTACAGGTTGGATCACTATAGTAAAAGGAAACAACCCTGAATCACACCTTTGCTGATTTTATCCCATGCAGTATCCACCTGTTGGTTGAAATGACTACTACCTCATGGACCAGCCAGCTTCCCAGATTACTTGTTCAGCATATAGTTGTTAAACATTATATATGTGCCGTTGAATTATTTTAAAAGCATTTGAAATGTCAACCTGGTCGATACAAATTAAGAAATTACCTAGTGAACTAAAAGCCAAATAAAATTGGACATACTGTAGAGTCTAGTGATTTGAAACATGGAGTTGAGTAGGAAATATGAGAAAATAAGACTATCCAAATGTTATATATCCCGCAGTTTTTGAAGCATGCGAACTTTAAGCTTAACACATGGCTTATGACTTTTGGACTCAGTTTCAGAGGTAGGGGGCTTACTGTGGGAATGAGAAGTGGCAGCCATCTAAATGGACTTTTGAGTTGCTTTGGGGAAGAAAGATTGCATCAGAATCCTCTAAGCAGGGTACAGGTAGGAACTGGAAACACATGGAATCCAGGACAGATGATCCCTTCAGGACCAGTGCTGAGAGTGGCGATACAGGGAGGGTGGAGGGAGGGGAGGGTGGAAAGGGGGAACAAGGATCTACATATATCCTCCTCCCTGGGGATAGACAACAGAAAAGTGGTGAAGGGAGACATCGGAGAGCGTAAGATATGACAAAATAATTTATAAATTATCCAGGGTTCATGAGGGAGAGAACAGGGAGGGAGGGGGAAAAATGAGCTGATACCAAGGGCTTAAGTAGAAAGCAAATGTTTTGAGAATGATGATGACAACACATGTACAAATGTGCTTGACACAATGGATGTATGTGTGGATTGTGATGAGTTGTACGAGCCCCTAATAAAATGATTAAATTAAAAAAATAAAAAAGAATCCTCTAACCAGAATTTGCCAGTGAATTAAAATTTAGTTGCTATAGTGTACTAGAGGTTCAATGTTCCTACCTTATAATGATCTCAAAGTTAAGTCTCCAAGCCTGACTAGAATTTAGGCTCTTGAGACCAATCTTTGGTTGATATTTGTTGTTTATTTTCCTGGCATTTGTCTTCCCAGATCCTCGAACTGATCCATTTGGTTGAGTCTCTATAACTCACATTTTCTTATTTTCACATCATGCTTATGGGAGCCAAGACTTGCTGCCTGCTCTTAGGTTCACCACAGTATCTCCTTATTGCTGGTACAGCTGCCTTTGACCTTGCTACTTTTCTTGGTGTGACAGTACTTTATGGAAATGGCTGCAACAATAAGCTTGCTGCTATTCCAGAACCTTGCTCTTCCACACTACGGGGGTGGGGGTGGGGGTGGGGTGGAGTGGAGGCTTTTTTGAGCCTGGGTGAGCCTTTGTGACTGCTGGACCAAGGGAGTATGGCTGTAGTGATCCTTATTTCTGACGCTGTGACATGAAATGTGATAAAATGTCCCTGCATGGTTCTGTCTTGGACGGTTTACTTTTGACCCCTAAGGCTGCCATGGAAAAGGTTGCTACTCTCAAAACCAACATACAAGACCATATTAAAACAGAGATGCCTGAGGAGCCCCACCCTCCAACTTTGGAGTCATCCCAGTGTTGTTTGGATCATCCCATGTCCTCTGCCTGTAACTGCTGGAGAGACTGAACAGAACCCACTGAACAGAGTCAGGGCCAGTCATCCCCAAGGCTGTGAAGAAAGCAAAGTGACTGTTAAGCCACTGCTTTGGGAAGTGATTTGTTAAAGTGATAGATACGATTGAACTGGCTGTCTTTCATTTATTACTTTCACGCTAGGCACTTTTTTTTAATGGGCTGGGAAGGCAGTATGGGATTGGGGAAACAGACAAAGAGGGGAAATATGGAAGCTAAGTATTATATTGGAGATAAGTAACAAAGCAAAAGCACAGGACAGGTATAAAATAGGGAGGAAGGATAAACAGTTTGGATGGAGCTACCTAAAATAACTTCTCAGCAAATGAAAGACCTTGATTAGAGATCTTGAAGTGAGAGAGGGGTGAGAATTTATTAGACACAGTAAGGGGATGCAAGGGGCCCGAGGTGGAAGCCAGCTTATCCACAAGAAGCAAGGGGGCTAGCATGCCTGGAATAAAGTGTGTGAAGGGAGAGCTGTGGATAAAGAGAAACAAGAATAGGCAACTAGCTCCCGTGAAACCCTGTGCATCCTGGAATGGACTCTGGATTTTATTCTTAGGACGTGGGGACCACTGGGAGAGTTCTCAACAATTCTGCTTATGGAACATATCTGCACCAGCTATCTGTTGATCAGGTCTGAGGCCCAGCCAGCTCTGTCCTGAGCACGTCTGCCACTTGTTAAGTCTCTGATGTGAAACGTGCTCTCACGCTAGTGGGATTTCTAACCTGGTCTTCTATCCTTCCATGTTTGCCTTCGATCATTTCACTTGATGAACAGCTACCTGCAATGTTTAATGAAGGGAGAGAGGTAATGATTTGCATGGCTTACATCATCTAGCATTTGGATACTGTTTAGAGCAATTTACGTTTCCGTACTTCATTGCATCTCTGTGATAGGTAGTGAGACCAACTAGCCATGAGAGGTAAAAATAGAACAAGATAAGGCAGACTGCTCTGTGATGATTAGTCCAACCAGAAAATTGTTTTCTTGGTGTCTTGATTTTTAGGCCTATTCCTGGGGTTATTTGGAGGGGAGGGCGGGCAGATTCAGACAATACCACTACATAGACAACATCCACTATATAGTTTCTGAGCTATAGTGTTCCACTAAATTTCAGCTATTGTTAGACTTCTATCATGATTATATATATATATTAGGATGATATATATTATTAGATGATATATCAAATATAAGGATGATAGATATATGTGAAGTTACATTGATCATCCTACTTTTAAATATGAGGAGAATTCAGACAATTTATAGGGTAAGAAAAAATGTAAAAAATATTTGACAAAGCATTAGGTATTAAGGGACTCCCAAAGAAAGCTGTGTGTGGACTCACGGTTGCTAGTTGGCTATACATTGAGCTGCCAATTATAAGGTTAGTGGTTTGAACCCACCAGTCACCCTACAGCCTTTATGAGATTTAAAGGCTTGAGAACCCCAAACCTGTCTAGCGTCACTGTGAATTAGAATTGATTTAGATGGCAACAAGTTTTTCTTTTGAGTGTGGGAGGCCGTGCACTATATACAGAGATTACGAGTTGGATACTGGAAAGACAGGACACCGCTTCGGAAAAATGGAAAATACAATGAAAAAGTCGCATAGACGGAAGGTGTGAGGGCAATTTTGAATGTCACAAATGTAAGACTTCACGGCAATTTTCCTAAATATTTTGAAGATGAAATTGTTCTTCAAATAATGCAGTCAACATTTCAGAACACATTTTAATATAGAAAAGTAAATAGAAAACCCATGTTCAATGTTTCAGAGGTAAGGTTGACTGCAGGCTTCTTTATAAGAAAAATTCTAACCTTTCAAGAGGTTCTGTGCACCGGTGGCAAAATTGTGCCATCTTATATGAAAACTGGAACATTTTAATTTTAATAAAGGAGCTTGAACTCTGATAGACTCAACTTGAGTTTCAGAACATTTGAATCCCTATTGTACCAAACGAGCGACCAGTCAGATAATTCAGACTCGCAGTAACCCCACAGGACAGAGTGGGGTGTCTACTGTGGGTTTGCGAGGCTGTAAGTCTTCTGAGGAGCAGAGTGCCTCGTCTCTCTCTTGAGGACTCAAATAGCTGACCTGGTGGCTAGTCGTCAAATGTACCACACCAAACTCACTGCATCCAATTCATGCCTGCTCAACCACCCTGGAAGAACCGTAGAAATGCCTCTGTGAGTTTCCGAGACTAACTCTCCAGGAGTCGTAGAAGCCCCATTTTCTCGCACAGAGCGGCTGGTG